CTGTTAATCAAGTTTGTTAAAGATCTGACTCATTGTGAAGGGTTGGCTCAAAGACAAGAATAATGTGTCTTGGTGGGTTGACAGCTCTTCCTGCATACTGTTAATCAAGTTTGTTAAAGATCTGACTCATTGTGAAGGGTTGGCTCAAAGACAAGAATAATGTGTCTTGGTGGGGTGACAGCTCTTCCTGCATACTGTTAATCAAGTTTGTTAAAGATCTGGCTCATTGTGAAGGGTTGGCTCAAAGACAAGAATAATGTGTCTTGGTGGGGTGACAGCTCTTCCTGCATACTGTTAATCAAGTTTGTTAAAGATCTGACTCATTGTGAAGGGTTGGCTCAAAAACAAGAATAATGTGTCTTGGTAGGGTGACAGCTCTTCCTGCATACAGTTAAACAAGTTTGTTAAAGATCTGACTCATTGTGAAGGGTTGGCTCAAAGACAAAAATAATGTGTCTTGGTGGGTTGACAGCTCTTCCTGCATACTGTTAATCAAGTTTGTTAAAGATCTGGCTCATTGTGAAGGGTTGGCTCAAAGACAAGAATAATGTGTATTGGTGGGGTGACAGCTCTTCCTGCATACTGTTAATCAAGTTTGTTAAAGATCTGACTCATTGTGAAGGGTTGGCTCAAAGACAAGAATAATGTGTCTTGGCGGGTTGACAGATCTTCCTGCATACTGTTAATCAAGTTTGTTAAAGATCTGACTCATTGTGAAGGGTTGGCTCAAAGACAAGAATAATGTGTCTTGGTGGGTTGACAGCTCTTCCTGCATACTCTTAAACAAGTTTGTTAAAGATCTGACTCATTGTGAAGGGTTGGCTCAAAGACAAGAATAATGTGTCTTGGTGGGGTGACAGCTCTTCCTGCATACTGTTAATCAAGTTTGTTAAAGATCTGGCTCATTGTGAAGGGTTGGCTCAAAGACAAGAATAATGTGTCTTGGTGGGGTGACAGCTCTTCCTGCATACTGTTAATCAAGTTTGTTAAAGATCTGACTCATTGTGAAGGGTTGGCTCAAAGACAAGAATAATGTGTCTTGGTGGGGTGACAGCTCTTCCTTCATATTGTTAAACAAGTTTGTTAAAGATCTGGCTCATTGTGAAGGGTTGGCTCAAAGACAAGAATAATGTGTCTTGTTAGGGTGACATGTCTTCCTGCATACTGTTAAACAAGTTTGTTAAAGATCTGGCTCATTGTGAAGGGTTGGCTCAAAGACAAGAATAATGTGTCTTGGTGGAGTGACAATACCTGCATACTGTTAAACAAGTTTGTTAAAGATCTGGATCATTGTGAAGGGTTGGCTCAAAGACAAGAATAATGTGTCTTTGTGGTGTGACAACTCTTCCTGCATACTGTTAAACAAGTTTGTTAAAGATCTGGATCATTGTGAAGGGTTGGCTCAAAGACAAGAATAATGTGTCTTGGTGGAGTGACAGCTCTTCCTGCATACTGTTAAACAAGTTTGTTAAAGATCTGGCTCATTGTGAAGGGTTGGCTCAAAGACAAGAATAATTTGTCTTGGTGGTGTAACAGCTATTCCTGCATACTGTTAAACAAGTTTGTTAAAGATCTGGCTTATTGTGAAGGGTTGGCTCAAAGACAAGAATAATGTGTCTTGGTGGGGTGACAGCTCTTGCTGCGTACACTTGAATAAGTTTGTTAAAGATCTGGATCATTGTGAAGGGTTGGCTCAAAGACAAGAATAATGTGTCTTGGTGGAGTGACAGCTCTTCCTGTATACTGTTAAACAAGTTTGTTAAAGATCTGGATCACTGTGAAGGGTTGGCTCAAAGACGAGAATAATATGTCTTGGTTGACTGACAGCTCTTCCTGCATACTGTTAAACAAGTTTGTTTAAGATCTGGCTCGTTGTGAAGGGTTGGCTCAAAGACAAGAATAATGTGTCTTGGTGGGGTGACAGCTCTTTCTGCATACTGTTAAACAAGTTTGTTAAAGATCTGGCTCATTGTGAAGGGTTGGCTCAAAGACAAGATTAATGTGTCTTGGTGAAGTGACAGCTCATCCTGCATACTGTTAAACAAGTTTGTTAAAGATCTGGCTCATTGTGAAGGGTTGGCTCAAAGACGAGATTAATGTGTCTTGGTGGGGTGACAGCTCTTCCTGCATACTGTTAAACAAGTTTGTTAAAGATCTGGCTCATTGTGAAGGGTTGGCTCAAAGACAAGAATAATGTGTCTTGTTAGGGTGACAGCTCTTCCTGCATACAGTTTAACAAGTTTGTTAAAGATCGGCTCATTGTGAAGGGTTGGCTCAAAGACAAGAATAATGTGTCTTGGTGAAGTGACAGCTATTCCTGCATACTGTTAAACAAGTTTGTTAAAGATCTGGATCATTGTGAAGGGTTGGCTCAAAGACAAGAATAATGTGTCTTGGTGGGGTGACAGCTCTTGCTGCGTACTCTTAAACAAGTTTGTTAAAGATCTGGCTCATTGTGAAGGGTTGGCTCAAAGACGAGAATAATGTGTCTTGGTGGAGTGACAGCTCTTCCTGCATACTGTTAATCAAGTTTGTTAAAGATCTGGCTCATTGTGAAGGGTTGGCACAAAAACAAGAATAATGTGTCTTGGTGGGGTGACAGCTCTTCCTTCATATTGTTAAACAAGTTTGTTAAAGATCTGGCTCACTGTGACGGGTTGGCTCAAAGACGAGAATAATGTGTCTTGGTGAAGTGACAGCTCTTCCTGCATACTGTTAATCAAGTTTGTTAAAGATCTGGCTCATTGTGAAGGGTTGGCTCAAAAACAAGAATAATGTGTCTTGGTGGGGTGACAGCTCTTCCTGCATACTGTTAAACTAGTAGTTTAAGATCTGGCTCAGTGTCTCTTTCTAGCAGGTTCTATGTACTGCAAATCCTCTTGGGTAAGTAATCGTTGTCTTGCTTTTTTTTTGTTTTGTTAGTTGTCCTTTGGTTTTGGCTTGGTGCCAATCTGAATAGTCTAGCCTCTTTTCAACTGTTGTCTCGTCTAAATGAAGGCATGCTGTTTCATGGCATTGGCAGCATCAACAATTTGTTAAAGTTTGTGGTTAATCAGCTTTAGATGCTCATTTTTTTTGAAGATTATTTGGACATGTCCCGTCAGTCATAGTCCATTGAAACTTTTGCGTAGTTTACATGTTAAAGTATTGTCATTTTGATTTCAGCATTTGCATTTTACTATCAAAATTACATACAGGCGAGACATCTCTCTATGTCATCAGTTCATTACAGTATTGTGGTACTGTTTCACCATTGTCCCAAGTTAGGGGAGGGTTAAGCGCTAACAAATATGGTTAACTCTGCCAACATTTTGTATGTGCCTTTCTCAAGCCAGTAATCCAGTGGTTCTGGCATGCCATATACAGTATGAAGTTTGCTCTTGTTGAAACATCCTTGACATTTTGTATTCAACGGTTAGTTGTCTCATTGGCAATCATACAACATATATTATTCTATATTCATATCCATATCATATTAACAACGTGTATCCTTTTGAATATGTATGCAATATTTGCCGCTGGACGTTTAGTAGCCATCAATCAATCAATTTGTGGTCAAGGATTCAGGTCCAAAACTTTTTCAGTTTGATAAAGGAAACACTAACAAATGTGTCAATTTCATCAAGTTTGTATAGAATATGTAAAGGCGAATTTTCAGATCCTTTTTCATAGAAGTCAAAGGTTAAACTGAAATCAATGATACAAGGTAAAACCTTTGTGAACATGATTTGGATAAAAGAGCTTGTTCAGTCATCATCGCCACATGTTGACATACTCTTCATGAGGACATGATATTTCAAGGTCAAAGGTCAGAGATATGGAAAACGCCCTTATAGAGTAAATAGTAACTTAACTTTGGAATTTATTTCTATTATTGTTGAATAATTTGAAAAAATACCTAAAACTAGTAGATGATGGAAACTTGGACATAATATATTGACTTTTTAATTTAGTAAAGTATTCCTAGAAGAAAAAGAGACAAGTCAGAATATAATCTAATACATAATATTTGTTGCAAACCTGAAGGAAGTCAGTTTAATAAAGTTACTCAAATTTTTTTCAATAGAAAATAATTCCTTATTAATATCAATATAAAGTTGTTTTCAAGATGATCATTTTTATTTTTTCAGGGGAGGGGTAGCAAATCCCAGGAATGACGGCCTTTTTAGGACATGTCGGGCCGTGTGACCCCTGGCCACAGCAAGTCTCGGACTCGACAATTACTTCTGTGTTTTCCCCATTGCGATGTGTTCTTATTTTAGTAAATGCTGCTATAATAAATTAAGCTGAATGGCCGATTGTTTTGTAAATACAGTATTGAAATTCCGATCAGCAAAAGATGTATTGTATAAATAGCAATAGAAATTTAGTAATTCAAAATCATATATTTTTTTTCTATTTTCAGATTTTAAAATATTTACTGAGAATTTGTAAACTAATTTAAAAAAAACCTACAAAAGACTTATCATGCAAGTTGAAAAAAATAATCTCAATAAAAAGATCTGTGCCAATCAAATAAACATGTTATTACAAAGTTTTAATATTTTTCGGATTACTTTTATTGGTAGGAATAAGGCAAAGCAATCTGATTAATATCAAATGTTTCACTTTGCAACGTATTTGTTTGTGGCTCGTGTACATGCCGTGACAAACAAATCTAGAGGAACAAAGTGAAAGATCTGATTTGAATCCTATTGATGGCAAATAATCATCAGTCAGTCATAGTCGCAAAGTATGTAACACTAATACAAATTTTCCATACCATTAAAAATGCAAAATGAATTGATCTATTTAAACCAGAGGCCGGTACTAGTGTGAGTGGTTGTGATTTCACCGATTGAGATATGTGGAGTAATCAGATAGAAGATTTATTCCGACATACAATAAATAACATGGTTTTACTGCTGCATCGAATAGTGAAACCAATACGTCATCTTTTCTGAAGATGAATATCAGTTCCACATTAGAAATAGAGACCTATATAGACACAAAGAAATGAGTAAATATATACAAGTGACGAGATTTATCGAGATAACAAACAATACTAGACAAAGAGATCATGAGATATTCAACACAACGACAATGTTTTCAATCTAGTCTCCCATATACCGTTGATCCTGCATAGTCAATTGTATCACGTTCCACAAGCCTGAGGATATTCAAAACAATACATCCGTCGGAATTCCGAAGGAGGGAAGAATTGAATAATCTTCATGTATTTTTATACAGAAAACAAATGCTATTTTAGCAGTTCCATTTTAACCTCAGTAAATTATGAAAACTTTCAGTCAAATCACAAAGATCCATGGAACTTTAAAATATTGACAGGTGACGTGGTCTGTCAATCCAGAAGAGTAATAGATGCAATAGACCTAGGAGAAAAGGTCTGTGCTGGTGCTTTTGATGGTATTATTTGTCCTGTTGGTATGCCAGACTGTATAAACTTTGTAGTAAATTTCGCCTTCGCTGGGCCTAGCGGTGCTTGAGTGTACATTCCCGCAGCTGATAACATTGTTGGTATCTTTGCACTCATCTTCCTAAATGAGAGAACACAGACATTTTAAAGATCAAAACAGCTGGTAATATTGCATCACCTAACTAAAAGATACACATATTTCAGTTTTAAAGACTACCATTTTTTATTTTTTTTTATATATAATTCTGCTTAGTATCACAATTTTTGGCTTATGATAACAGGAAATATTCTACTTTATCAAACACTTGCTTAATTTAGAGCATGCGTAAGAGTCCAGGGATTGATAGACTTTGTTTAACCTGTCAAAACTTTAATATTTATACCTTAACAACATTTTCTGCTTCTAGTCCATACATTTTGAGAGAGAGAGAGAGAGAGAGAGAGAGAGAGAGATCCCTTAAACGATGACATATTGATCGTGAAAAACATAACCTAACCATAACCTAACTATAACAGATTTTCAGTAAAAGATGGATGTGTATAAGACTAACATGGCCGCTAATGCTTTAGTTATACCAACACCAATCCCAGCAATAATGGCTGCTGTAGCTGCTACACCGGATACTGCGGCAATGTACACGGGTGTGTTATCTGAAACAAAAAAGATGAAATACTCCTATCTCACATCTGACATTCATGCAATAACTAACAATATCTATTTGTTTTAGTTTGTTGAAAAAGTAAACTGGTCCGCCATTGCGGACCTGTTTCTGTATTGTTATGAGTTACAATTTATGACTAAAATCAGCAAAGACCCATCGAAACAACATCTAATTCAAAAATTTAATAACACTTTTAGATATTTGGATGATATATTGGCTCTCAATAATGACGACTTCAGTATGTACACTAAAGAGATTTATCCTGCCGAACTGACTTTGAATAAAGCTAATACTAACAATGAACACTGCCCATTCCTGGATCTTGATATCTATATCTTTAACGGGAAGCTTAATACCAAAATTTACGATAAAAGAGATGATTTTTCATTTCCTATTGTTAATTATCCATTTTTAGATGGCGACGTTCCCTTGTCACCATCTTATGGTGTTTATATATCTCAACTTGTTCGATTCGCTCGTGTATGTAACAGCGTATTTGATTTTAACGAAAGAAATCTCTGTATTACTGAAAAATTATTACACCAGGGTTTTCGATATCACAAACTAGTCAAAACATTTACTAAATTTTATCATCGGTACAAGGACATCATTCGTAAATATAAATCAACATGCAGACATCTTATACGTTCAGGTATTTCACATCCAATCTTTTATGGTAATATTCTTTACAAAGCACAAAAATGTCGGTATTCACCTCAAAAGCTAACCAAACCTTTAAACAGACTTATTCAGAAGGGATATAGTTACGATACTGTTGTCAGGTCATTAAGGATTGCATATTTTGGTATTGATATTGATTCACTCATAGGGTCTTTGTATCGGAAATAAAAACATTTATTAAAAAACCAGTTGTTAGCATGATACGGGTTATGTTCTTCTCATATATTTTATGATGGTATGATACTTAACCCCTTAAGGGAGGGATTGTGCTTGATTTTCATATGATGAAGACATAATCTTTCAATCAGTTTAATTGAGGTCTGGAGCTGGCATGTCAGTAACTGCTAGTAGTCCTTTGTTAATTTATGTATCATTGTCATTTTGCTTAGTTTCTTTTGTTACCTATTCTGCCATCGGACTCGGACTTCTTTTGAACTCAGTTTTACTGTGCATATTGCTATGTGTTTCTTTATTCTACATTGGCAAGAGGTATAGGGGGAGGGTTGAGATATCACAAAACATGTTTAACCCTGCCGCATTTTTGCGTCTGTCCCAAGTCAGGAGCCTCTGGTTTTGTTAGTTTTTTTAATTTTAGTTCATTTATATGTTTTGGAGTTTAGTATGACATCCATTTTCACTGAACTAGTACACATTTTTATTAAGGGGCCAGCTGAGGCCCACCTCCGGGTGCGGGATTTTCTCGCTGCGTTGAAGACCCATTGGTGGCCTTCGGCTGTTATCTGCTCTTTGGTCGGGTTGTTGTCACTTTGAAATATTCCCCATTTCCATTTTCAATTTTATTCCATCTAAATCTCCGCACCGAAGGCGATAAGTGAACACAACAGAGGTCCAGTTTATTTAAAAAGAGGATACACTCTTGAGTGAATTTTTTTAATATAGCAATCTTTAATCTAATAAAACAAATATAAAGTACGACAATAATTAGAACAAATACGTTGAATCAATTTTAATGACATCTAGTCCTAAATGTCCTGGCTAGGTCAGTATAATCTACATGGAGTGGAACCTCTATGCTACCCGAAATATCAACAAATACGAAAAAAAAATTAACAAATTTAAACAAAGATGAAAGCCAGGTATCGAATGCCAGGTGTAAATTGAGTTTGTTTAAGGAAGTTAGCTTTTAGACTTTGTTATTGGCGAAAAACACTCACCAACTCCATCGTTTAGCACTAAATTGGCTATTTCAACGTTGTTTCTTTTGAATATGAAGAAATTGTTAACCAAATAATAATGGACTAATCATTAAATCTACCTGTACCACTCGTGTCTTCAGTACTGGTGGTATTAAACACCCCACATTTATCTACTGCTGATTCTAACACGTTACTATCTATAAATAAAATAAATATCGGCATTAGTCAGGAATTTTTATCATTTTACTAAAAATTAAAGGTCACTTTTTCAAGATGGGGCTCCCGTCTTTTTTTTTAAAACAAATCCTATCAGCAAACAACAAGATTCATAAACGTTTATCATCAATGAACGGTATCCGCGGTATATTATCACATCCGTATATACTGAATAAGGATCTCCCCACAATATATGAACCGAAGTGAACCCCGATTATTATTATCATTCCTATTAGAAATACATGGACAAACATAAACGAGGGTGGTAAAGGGTTATTTTCGTGCAACGTGTTTTGCCATTTTTATTTCACGTGCAGCCATGAAAAAGGTACGTTATTCACCGTGTTTCGTGAAATCGGTAAAAGGATCAACGTGCAAGAAATTTTTAATTGTTCGTTCATCGTGAAATGGTAATTTTATTTCGCGTTCTTCCGTGCAGATACCCCCCCTTTACGCCCCTCACAAACGTAGCATACAATTTGATTTTCATTTATACAGTGAGGGGGACATTTCATTATCGCGTATATATATATAGCTAACTTGTTTTAATAGAAATTGTGTCCAAACACAAACACAATTGCTTGCTAGTATCCCAAGTATATATTGACGGCTGTCTCGAAATGTTTTACAGGAGTTGGTATAATGAACAAAATAAAAATTGAAAACGAGATCAAAAAAGATATCCTACTAGCTAAAATGACTGGATCACAGCACCTACTATATATGCTTTGATTTTATTTGTCCCTGGCAGTTTGATAATACATGTACATATCATAGTGAATCGTTGTGGTTTTACTTTATGACAGAAAGAAAAAGGACATAGTCAGGTATATATTTTTTTAAAACAAAATGTAGTTTATTACATGTATATGTCATGAAACAAATTCCGTTCTGACTTGTATCAATCATAGGAAAATATAATTAAATCATAGTGTAGTTACCGATGTCTGTAACTCAGTGAGTTTTATTATCATTTTCAAAAATACAACTTTTAATTTACTGTTCTAAAAAAATTATTACCTAACTTTACCACCAATTCTGGTACAAGTAAACACAAATTTGAGAATGTTCCAACTGTGTTAACATAATACGAGTCTGGATCTGAAGCAATAGATTCCAGTTCCGTCATTGATGAAGTGACAACTGAACCAATACCAATAGCATACACTTCAATCCCAGCATTTTGTAGTATGCCGGCTTGGGTACTCGTTTCGGCCGTCTCGGTGGATATTCCATCTGTTAAAACAACCACGGCTTTTGGCACACCGCTTCGAGAACCGTGGCCTGACGTAAAGGTTGAACTGTAGCAAAAGTCCAGAGCATCGTGTGTGTATGTCTGGCCGCTTGGTGTTCTTGATTTTACCGCTTCAATGGCATCCAGGAGATCAGTTTGTGATGTATAGTCGTTCAAATCAAATTCTTCTGTTACTGAATTTGAAAATGTTATCACAGAAATTTGAAGCTCGTCATTGGATGAGCCAATGGTCAACCATTTAGTAACATTGTAAAGAAAGTCAACAGCTTCGTAAAAATCTTCGTAATAAATGCTCCCTGATCTATCTAGGACAAACACAACATCTACAAAACAAAGATAATTGTTATTGTTTAAAGCCTCAAATAAATAGTACACGCTGCTATATGAGTAACAAACAATGTAAACAACAACAAATATGTTTTTTTTGTGTGTCTGTATTTGATTTATGATAAATCGATCCGAGTCTAGTCAAGTTTGGATACATGAAAGGGGTAACATGAATCACAAAAAAAAAATACCAGACACCAAAACAGACCACACCAACCTCAAACACCCGACTCCTAAAATATTCAGACTTAAAACTAAAGACAAACAACAATATTCAAACAACACATGGTCCAGAAAGCTTGACTTAATAAAAATACAAAAAATGCAATGGGGGTAACACTAGTTTTACCTGTGCACAACCACCCCCTTTTGTCTATCGAGACCATATTTTGTAAAACAAAAACACACATTAAAATTCTTGCACAGAGCAACTAAAAACAGGAAATAAAAACGGCAAATACAGTTTGGAAAGCAGGGTCAGAATATTCTCGCTACTACAGGAAGCTAGTTAGTGGATACATTTGACAGCGACTATATAGATCTGCTATCAACACCGAATTCATAGGGCACGAAGCAGTTGTAACTTAAACAACCACTTCGTGACTAGGAACAGACACATCACATGAAATGTGGCTTGGTGAAACTAGTTTTTCTAAGTTCTCAACCCTCTCGCTTTTAATATATATCAGTTGGGTAGTCCTCATAAAATTAATTGCCCGGATTTTTTTTTTGGGGGGGGGGGGATTTCTTTTATAAAGTGCACCACTAGGAGTAATCCTAGTTAAAGAATGAAAACATACATAGCTTTTTGTTTTCTTTGATAAGGCGTTTAGACAAGAAAAAGATACACATACACACACAATGAAAACAACAAAATATTTAACATACAAATATTAAGTCTGCATATATATATCTAGTGTGTGTGTGTGTTTTTTTTATCGAAATATAAAGTGCTTATAGGCTATATTTGGTAAAAGGTTACATTTGAAATACCATACATTATTGTACAAATCGTTTAACTTTTTTTAAAACGCCGATTATCTAAAGGTAAAGAAAATGACTGAGTTAAATTACCTCTTGTGTCAGCTGCTGTTCTTTGCAAAGAATATATTACAAGAAATATGAAAATTTGACAGATAACATATAATCTCATAACAAAATATGTATAATTCAAATTCCACTACATTACAGTTATACCAGACGGTGCATTTTGAAAAACCTGATAATATGAATAAGCCGTTTTAAAGTTTAATCCTTTGTAAGCGAAATTGGTTAAGCGTCTTATAAGGTTAGACAGGGAATGTTTTGTCATTAAACAATGTCACTTGACCAAAACTTAATCAGTACAAAAAGGACAAGTAAGATACATAGACAATTTCTGTCAGAAAACTTTTACGACCCGTCATCATCAAATTTCCCTCTTGTATAAAACCAGTCAATATATATTGATAGAAAATAACAAAAATATGCGTAAAGGCGCTGCAGTATTATTTTTTTTCATAACAATTTTAAAAAGAAACAGGGTAACTTTAATAAAAAAAAAATAGAATAAAAAACATATGCCGAGTCATTTTGTTACAAGGCATTTACTTTTTTTTTACTTTTCATTTTTTTCTGGTTCATTATATGTTCCTTGTATGAGCTTTTATGAATTTCACGTAACATTTTGATTACAAAAGTTATTTATACAGCTAATTATTATCGGGCATCAATTGAGTTTTCCCAATGTCTGTATGAATTTTTAAGAGCTTCAATAAAAAAAATAATGTTGTAACACAACAGCCTAATTTCTTTACGGAAAACGTATTGTCAAATATAAAGCATGAAGCACTAGTCACTGGAAACGGATAGTCCCCTAGGGAGCAAAAACTATTTTACCAAAACGCGTTACTAACGAATTGGTAATAATGACTTGTATAAACGTACAATAACAAGTTCAACGCAGACACCTGTTTCTGGTATAATTTTCAACAAAAACATGTAAACGAGGACTAGAATGTTCCAGCCTTGAATAAGCACGTTAGTCACACTTCATGCTATATTAATCGGAAATAAAAGCTCTTCTTCCTAGAAAAGAGTGCCGTTTCTCTTCAAACCAACCAAGATTGCAAGTGTGGTTTCGCTGAGTCAGCTAAGGTTCAAGGTGGCAAAAAAAAATCCAACAGTTTCTGATACGTTTTGATGGGATTACACGTAGGTTCTTCAGTTCTTGTGAGATACTGAAACAGAAAGCCTGGCACGTCAAAAGGTTCAATCAGTCTGCTACCAATTTCATCCGTCATCTATTGTCAAAACTTTTATGATTATGTAGCTCTTGTGTGTTTTGTATGCTTGCTTTGTTTTAAACGTGCTTGCATTAAATGTTTTGTTTGTAATAAGACGATATAAAAGCTCAATCAAAAGCTTATGTTTTCTGCTTACAAACACATATTCGTCTATATATGAAGAGGTACTTATATTAAAAAAAAACGCGTATTTTAACCATACGAAATTGCATTCAGTAAAATCACTGAATCATATGTCAACACTGTTGAGCCGCAGCACGCCAGTCATTATCAAAATCACTGCAAAAATATATTAATCAGATTGTCTATCAGTAAGAAAAAATGTCTAAACAATTTAGTAAGTTACTAATATTTTTGTACCTAATAATAAATTAATGACATTAATGATTATTTAAGAATTCTCTAATATTTGTAGTCATTTATTATTCATATATTTTTCTAATTCTCATATGAAAGCCACTGTCACCCTCTTTTTTCACTGTACAATTATGGTTTTATTGTCTATACTTTATAATCATGTCTTATAAACCATTTATTGTAAATGTGTGCTAATAAATATTGTCTATTGTCTATAAATAAACCTTATGGAACTTTGAACTTTGTAAACGTAATGTGCATTTCATTGATTCTATAGTTTTTAAATTTTATTATGTGTAGGTCACCAGGGAAGATTAGCTATATAGTCAACTGTGATTCACCTCTTGGAATACAATCTTCTTTTTTGATACGGAATTTATTTTTACGTTTTGGTTCTAAAATTGTACAATGATATTCATTTCCGGCATCTTCAACAATGTCCGACGATTTACAAACGAATTTGTCTACGTATAAACTACAATTACAACAGGTAATTAGGCTTTGAAATGCACCGAATATTAGCCATTTCTTACATAATTTATATGTGAATAAATTAAAACTGAGTCTTACCAATATATGTACCATGTTGACTGGTAGGGTCTCGGATTTCCTTGATCTGTGTCCTGACCCAGATCGTATGCTAATATAATTTGTTGTTTCTGAATGGCTAGTCGTCTGACAGTCTTGGGTCCAGTCTTATTTGTTGGTCTTATCGGGTGTTACCTGTGAAATATTTAGAGGACCAAGTCGTAGAAATAACTACTTAAGGTTCATCATTACAACTTGCAAATGAAATTTACAAATTTACTCCGAGTACAGACAAACATGTGACTGTGCAATTGGAAAAAATTGTGGATTTTTACCTTTAAGACCTAAATTAAAATATTGTTTGTTTGCCCTTTTCCTACCCTATTTTTTGAAACAGGGTAGTTAGCATGGTTAGGTAGGTAACATATTTTATTTTTCTTTGCCAAAAAATAATTTGGCATGGTACATTTTTTGTCATGGGTAGGCAGTGAGTTAATAAATTTCACTATCAATGCATGGGGACCAAATGACAGCGAAAACTACACAATACAACAGCACCATATATATTGTTCCCTGATCATTTTTGAGCTGTTAATATGATGACACTAGAATGTTTTTATTAAATAATTTTATTTTACAATGTAGTTCAAAAGAATCAAGTTTAACCCTTTCGCCGACGAATCCCGGGATTCACCCTTCAGACAGCTGATGATGAGTCCCGGTTTACCGGGATCTGAATACCTCTTTTACATTTCCCGCTAAAAACATTGGAAACACAAGTTATCTTTCTTTGTTGAATACCCGGATGAAAGTGTAAACATGGCGCTTCCGTTTGTTGAAAACCGTGTCAAAATCAGATGAATTTTACGAATTTTAGTAGAATTTGAAATAAGGAAACATTTTTTTTGAAAGAATATGGAAGAATTGAAGCCAGACTAGTATACTTTTTTGATGTAAAATGCCGTTTTATGTACAAAAACACTTGGAATGGACATCGTTCAGTGTAAGAAATTTGTACAACCTTGTTGAATTTTTCAAACTTTTGCCGTTTAGGGTGAAAAAATTACGATTTTGGGTCAAAAAGTCGATTTTTCGAGAATTTCATCTCTCTAATGCCGAAAATTTGCAAATTTTGATTTTTTATGAAGAAAAAATTATCAAAACATTAACAAAACTGTGTCCATGGTGTAAGTGAATAATATAAAGACATAAATAACTACAGACAAGTTTTTATTGATATTTAATATGAAGATCTCCCACTTGTGTCATAATAGCCAGGGAAGACATCGTCTCAGAGTAGCTTCTGTCAGGCCGGCTATCGGTGAAAGGGTTAAAGATATGAAATCATTTTAATTTTAATCTGATAAATGTAAAAGTTCTGCATTATAATTTTATATTGTTGAGAGAATACTAGTACAATAATGGTAATGCTGTAATCTTACAGAAATGGGGAATGTGTAGTTTAACTACCATGACAATTTACAGAAACAATGAAAAATGTTGATAAAAAATCTCAAGTTTTGAGGCCCAAACTCCAGCTAAAAATGTTCAAATCTCCAGTTGTGACAAGACAACTCTGTCACATGTATGAAATGGGGCCTGGAAAAATTGTTTGGGGAACCCCTGCCCAATTGATTTAAGTTTATATGGTCTTGCTTCTTCAGTCCCAAACCTGCAAAAACAATGGGGACTACAGGTTTGCCGTTCTGTCTGTCACACTTTAGTTTCACACTTTTTTCACTATACATTGTATCTAAACCAATTTCAACCAGATATACCTACTGTCAAAAGTGCTAAATCTAAAGCTGGGAGAGATGAAAACACCTTGAAAACTTGTAGAGTTGTGTTGCTTGTTTGTCCAAACTGTACATGCTGTATTCAAAAGGGAATACCAAAGTGCTTGACAACAAAATGACATTTCTTCTCATGAAAAGTTTATTTTGTTTCTATTTTTGAGTTGTCAAATTTTGACATAAAAAAACCAACTTTTCACCTACCTACCTTCCCTCTTCTGAAAAGTAGCGTTGGGAGAGTATAAACACACTATATTTTAATTGTGAACTCAATGGTGAAAAAATGATAATCTGTTTTGTTTTCTAGGTTGAAGCATCATTAACTACAGATCCAGATAATGAAGATCTGTTGAAGCTCAAGAATGATTTACAGGTGGGTTGTTATACATCTATTGTAAAGTAAGACATGTACTATTTTCTTTCATTGAATTAATGTACATGTATTAGATGAAAATTTATAAAAAAATCTTTTACAATATATTTGAATACTTAACACTTTTTATGTGTACATAAATTTCAGTAATTCATTTGTAATAACATGAAAAATATTTTGATCGAAGAATAAACAAGTACATGTATGAACAGATGAACAAAAATTAAAAAAAATTATTATAAAACATAATAGGAATTTTAAAGTTGAAAACGTCCAAGCATTACAATAACTGTCAGTGTTAATGTGTGTATAGATTTATATTTTATAGACAAGACACAACAGCTCAGCTGTACAAATGTATTGCAAGAATAAGTTTGGATCGTAAGTAACAAAGACACACACAACAAATAGATATACTGGCTGTTAAAGTGGTAAAAATTGATTCAGGCTATATTTTTACTCAGTTTCAGGAATATAAAATATAGCTTACCGGGGTAATTGATTCTTTGATTTTATGAACATCAACTGATTTTGGACAGAAAATTAAAGGGTAAAATAAATTTTAAAAAGTGTTATTTATTAGAATAAGCAATTTTATAAACTAGATTGTGTGATTGTTATTAAAAAAAGATATGATTCTGACACAAATATTTTAGAAAGGAGAAGGTATGATAAGGATATCACACATGTTAACAAATAACATCCTTTAAGATAAAAGTCTGTCCTATATCCATGAGATCTGTTATAATATATTTGAATAGTTCGGCAGTGTGTGTGTAAAATGTCCATTTCTGGTCAGTTATTATATTCTTAAGACAATACAAATGACATGACAATGCTTTAGTGACCAGACTATATAAATGCTCTTCATTTATCAATAAAACTGACATAATGATTAATAAAAGATTAAAGAATGTTTCTATTTTTTCCAATTTAGTAGTCAAATAATGGCCCTTATCATATCTTCTTTATTAATATTTAAATAAAAGGCGATGTCTGGGAGAAATGACAATAAAACAGCACCCTGACAACCAAATATTACCTGATTTAGACATCTAGAGGTCACTTTATCAGGTGACCAAGAATGGTCAAGCATCGACACAATCTTAGGTAAAAATTACCCTCAGTGTAGACAATACATATATAAGAATGTATTGGGAATCATTCATAAGAGATGATACAAATTTATATTATGACTGCATATTGAAGGCAAATTTTAAAGATGTAATATCTGACTTGATATCTTTTCATGCTCTTTGCACAAAAAAAAATACAGTATTTGTGAACACAGTTGGACAATAGTGTACATTGTATATTAAAACTATGTATTAATGATGGCTCTAGTAGTAATAAACTTTATGCAAGTCTTTTCACCAAAATCTTAAGATGAATTTTTCACAAATTTGTATTCATCCATGTGTCCTATTATCCATTTTATCTTAAGATATTGTGTGAAAAGAGGAAGTTATTTACTGTAATCATTATGAGTGTTATATACCATGTACTCAAATACGATGTATTTGTGTATTTGACAGGAAGTTATAGACTTGACTGTGGATCTGATTGGTACCAAACTACCTCCTACTGCAACAGAAATACTGAAATCTGACACACCAGATGTATCTACACATACTTGGAAGTCAGGTGATCCATGTATGGCTATCTGGTCAGAAGACGGACAGTAAGTCACTGCATTACATATTGTCATTTGAAACAACAGATCACAAATTCTAAGTCAACATTGTCTAAATGTTCATTTTGAGTGGACAATACGACAAATTTCAGGGAATCAGTTCCACAATTGATGGTCTGAAATTGTGTGATCAAGTCCATAATTTGCATCACTGATTTAAAAATTAATGATTTAGTGGTGTTTTCTTTCATTTGCATGAGAATGCGGAAAAACATATGATATTTGAAAAGTTGCGGACATCAATTTTGATTTGATGGTTCCAAATATAAGTTTACTGGCTCTGCAAAGTTAAACTAAACACTTGCAATTCATTCCCAATGTCAGGCCATCGTTATGAAATTGATGCCCTAAACTTTGTGGAATCATTTAATCAAAATGAACATTACAAACATGCTGCATCGGAATATAAATGTAAGTGACGAAATTGATCTGAAATGCTTTCACCGTATTGAAAATCTGTAATTGCGAAATTGATGATAGCTGGCAATTCATTGTGTAAGACAGATTATATGTTAACTCTTGCTTTTCAAATACTATGACAGTCAGATGAATTTTACGTGAACTCTTTGTTCTTTAAGATCCTATGACAGTTAAAATGATTATATGTCAACTCTTGCTTTTCAGATACTAAATGACAGACAGATAGATTATATGTCAACTGTTGTTTTTCAGATACTATGGCAGTAAGATCGATGAGATACTAGAGGATGGAACATGCACTGTAACTTTTGATAGCTGGGGTAACACAGAAGTCACCAATGTACGTCAAATTAAGTTCTTGCAAAAAACATATACCCTGTGTAAAAGAGGGCCACATTTAAAATTTGTCTGATTCCTCTCTCCTGTCCCTTCTTTTCAGATGATGCATGAGAGTAGGCTGTAAGGTAAAAACAAATGTTTTTGGTCAACAGAATTCGATTTTACCAGGTTGACTTCAAGTTGGAATGTTATTCAAAGCTCACCCTATTACTGGCAATGGCTTCAGTAATATGTTAACAGATCAACATTTGCTGCTCACAATTGCAAAATCCATTTTATTTCAATGGCAAACTGAAAAAAAAAAATCTGCAGTAAATTATAGCAAAAATTGTTTTTAATTGTTATCAGGAAGACAGATCCTATTGTATATGCCATGCCAATAGCTGGTTATAAGGTGTGCATATTTGGTTAAAAAAAGATATACATACACAACTTTTAAAGGAGTATGCATAAAAAGTCCATAAAATGAACCAGAGTTAAGAAATAATTACATTACATGTAATTAGAATTCATACATTATTACAAAAAAATTTTGAATACAGAAGATGCAGCGAGCAACAAATCAAGATATTATACTTTTGGTGATAAAGTCTTGTCTTGTTGAAGTTCTTTAATTGGTTACATATGTTTAAAATTAATGCTATTTTATTATTACAGGTTATACATGTATTTACTGTGTCATAATATAAACATAATCACACACCTGTAAAAATGTGTTTCTGAATACCAAAAAACCTATCAAAAGCATAAAATCAACAATTAAAGTGTTCAGTCGGCTAAGAGTCAGAATAATTTGTCTGAAAATGGTGATACCTCTTCCTGTGGACTGTTACCTTGTGAGCTAGCAAGTTTAAAAATCTGACTGTCAGAGCTTTTCAGTATAGTAAGAAGATGGGTACAGGGCTCACCCTACCAGGCGACTAGGGCAAAGAGGTGGCTTTCAAGTCTGTCACTTCGCTTTGCCCATCCCTCAAAAGCGAAAAACAAGTCGCCCTGTTGTTTAAGATACTCGCTTTCAGTCGCTTTCGTCATCCGACATTTTCAATTTTTACCAAGTTGATAAAACATCAATTTTTTATTGATTATTAAAGAAATTCAGACATAAACGATTCATTTTCTTAAGAAAAGAGGTTTAAGCATTGACTTTACAGTGTGTAGCAGGTAATTTAATAAAAAGACTACTTTTTATCACTGCATGCACTTCCGGTACTTGTTACTCTGAGAGCGTACATCGATCTAACTTTCGGCGGCAAAATAAGTTTGTTACTTAATTTGAAAGTGATAAAAGTTGCCTCCAGTAAATGTTTAATCCATTTATTGCATTAAAAATGTCATAATCCTTTCCAAATAGCTTGTCAAACATCGTTTATTTTTATAAATTTTCTTCGTCCACCATTAACTGTTTACTAACTACGGATCGGAACTGGACCAGCTATGACCGAAATCCGTATTTTTACAATAATAACTACAGACGCATGAATAGAACAGCTGACAGAAGAATATTGATCCTAAAAGGGAAAATTATGCATTCCACACACATTAACAGATTTTTGGTTAGATCTAATTGATTAATGTATATAATTCCATATAATTTATATGGATTGTTTCAAAATATTGATCAAAGTTGCTTAACTACTAATATCAAAATATTATGGCCCAGCTTAACTTTGTATATCTTTTGATGAGAAACACTGAATTTCATAAACATGATAAACAAGAAAGTTTTAAATTGAATTGTAATTCATATATTATAATATCTTTACCTTTTTGACACAAAAAAAATTCTTTTTAGTGTTAGATACATGTATTTAGTTGGTAGTTTCTCTCAAGAACCTAAACTCAAACAACTTTGAATTTGAACTGTTAATTTAATTGTATACTCAGATATGAATTGAATAAATTAAAAAGAACACTATTTACATATGACCCTTTATACTTTAGTAAAATCAAAACATTGTAGCGCAGCGCGCGAAGGAGCACTTCTCTTTCAAATCTCACCACTTCTCCCTATCAGTTTCAAAAAGAGAAATCACTTCTCCCTATGATTCTGAAGTAGTGTGAGCCCTGGGGTAAATTTATCATATTTATACCTCATTAACATGTTATCATGAATATGCATGTAAAATTTGCTGCTGGATATTAAGAAATCATCAATCAATCAATCATTCATACAAATTGTTTTGTTTACAGGTTACTGTATTGAAGCCTATTGACCCTAATGCATTACCAGGTTCATCTGATGACAAACACAAATCAAAGTAAGTTTAGTAAATTATTATAAATGCGAGAATTTATTTTTTAGATTAAACACAGATGTGATTAGGCTAATTAGATATCATTTTCTGTCCATTAGTTTTTAGAAAATGACGCAGTCAATTTTCTTTTACCATTGACCAGACTTCCAATCCGCATTCCGAACTCGGTTCCGTATTTTACATACTTAAAGTGAATGTTCGTATGCTCATACATTGGTAAAAGAAAGACAACTCCAGCGTTGCAAATGTACATTTTAAAATAACAGATGGTGTTGTCTCCCTTCAATATCTCTTGTTGTGTACAAAATGGCGGTCATTAACCTTCGTGACCGTCGGGCGATTTTCAATCATCTTGTTGGAAATACAACTGGAACAGACTTAAATTTGTAATTTTCATTCTTTAATTTCTTAACCTGTCATACCTGCCAACTTGCACGATTCAGGCGTGAAATACTCGATTTTGACCCCTTGTCACGATTGCACGATTTTGTTAAATTCTACTGTTCCCAATTTCGAACTTTCTCAAACTTTTCCCAAGGGAGACAACTGTGATCAGCCAATCAAAATCGTTGTTTCTCCTGATCTTTGGGTATTGTAAACTGTAAATGTGCTAAATTTTGAACTTGTCAGGAACTCAGAATATTGTAGAAATCGTGATCATGGCAGACCAATTTTCAATTACAAGAAGGTTCTTACACAGCTTAAGAAGTAAATCATGACTGGTTGACAAAGTTCAAAGATGCAGTTCAACCATAAACATAATAAACAGTAGCTAATGGACAAATTTTACACTTATGGTAACAGATCATACATGTTGTCATTCTTGAAATTAAATTACCAAATCCATTAAAGTACAATGTTCTATCTTTTAATTTTCACAAGGAATCAGATATATTTCCTTCTTTGTGAATATTTTTATATTTGAAAAGTCAACAATCACTTTAATATTCCTGTGACCAATAATCTGATAAACCACCTTTAAGGTTCATCTAATATACACCAACAAAAATGGCTGTGTTTACACCATGAAATTTTCTCTGAATGCAGACAAAACTGTGTAATTCTAATAGTTTTAAATCCACACAGCACCTGGCCACAACTCCTCTTTTTCCTGTGGTACATGAAAACAATAAACCGGTTTGGTACATTGTTGAGGTCTGAAAGTGACTTATAACTGCCAACAGCCACATTATTTGGACTCTGGTAGATAGTACCTCAGACTGTTATCTCATTGGCAATCACATCCCATCTCCTTATTTTATTACGGGTCAATTATTTGAAATAAATGACTACGGTACTAAACATTAAATCATTTGAAAAAAATAATTTTGCAATAATTTATGTTGTCATTTTAAGATTTCAGTGTAAGCTTGATTACTACAGGCTCTTCACAATGAAATTAAGTTGTATAAATGGTGTCACATTGTTTGTAATTGTGAAACTAGTATAACAATACTATTGTCTACAATGTAAATCTACAGAAATTGATCACGTTTAGGTATTAAACTGAAATAACAATGTGATTATGTCACTAGGTCACCTGTAACTTATCTCTTGAATAAGGACTACTTTCTTACTACAGGCTCTTCATAATCATTTTGTTAAATAATTCTACAAATAAGGGAAACAAATTCACATATTACTTTGAATATTGTAGATTGTTCAGGTAGTCTTGAGCTATTTCCTTGTACAGCAGAACAACTAGTAGTTATTTTCACTTCACACACATATATATATATATATCTTGACAAACAAATAAAAACGCTATAGATTGTGGAAACAATTCACATCTATTCTATCAGTTACCCTACCTACCATAAACTGAACGTCGCCTAAGATTCAGTAGGTAAATTAAGTAAAAATCAAGACTTGCATCAAAAATATCCTAATATGAGAGACAATGGCGTCATTTTTACTTAGAGCTTTCAGCTCTTTGATTCTACTTTTTGGTAATGCCACTGGACATCTGGTATGTTATTTATAAAAGTTGCCTGTGCTGAAGGTTAAGGTATTTTGGTATGGTATTTGGGCTGAGACCAGAATTATGGGCAAAATGTATTTCCAGTTAATCAGTAACTAAGGAAATATTAGAAAGTATATTGATAACAAACTGTTAGCTTTATAACTCTACTAGTTTTAACTGTTGATTGACCTTTATGACCCTACTGGATTTCTTTACATGAAATTAGATATTCCCAACATGTTATAAATTGAGAGTTCTTCCTTAAAACTTGAATTCGATAATATAGAAAAAATGTATCAGGAGAAATAGAAAGCAGATTTGGTATCTGGAAATAATATAAATGTGTAGCAATTGAAAATGAAAACTTTTATCCATAAACTATCATAGTACCTATTGTACAAGAAAATACAAATTTGTTTTCAGACGAGATAAAATAGCAGAACAGAGAGAATACAAAAAAAAGAAAACACAGAAAAAGGCACAGAGGCTAAAGGCTCAGGAAGAAGAAAGAGAAACAGAGAAAAATAAATGGCTGGATTTTAATGCCAAAGTAAGTCAGTTATTTCAGAAAATAAATGGACAGTATACATTATTGTTTAGGTGCCAGCTGAAGTCCACCTCCGGGTGAGGAATTTTCTCACTGCATTAAAGACCCATTGTTGGCCTTGGGCTGTTTTCTGCTCTTCGGTCTGGTTGTTGTTTCTGACACATTCCATGTTCCCATTCTCTATTCTATAGAGTATAGTTAAAAGTTGGTAAGGGTTGTTGTGGAATAAATGTTAGGATTGCACAGAAGTAACTTTTTAAGTTTTCAAGAGTCCCAAGTGGCCAGCACCAACACTAGCTGATAAGCATTCCTGAGTCATTGTCATCATTATTTTAAAATCACAAAACATTGCTGTAAATAGGGTTTCACAAAAGTTCTTTTTATATGTTTTGGGACCTTTTTAATTGGCAAAACAGAGAGGGGATATCTTTACAATTAAATACAGGACATTTTAACCTGAAAGAACTGGTTTTACCGTTCTAGAGGTATGCCTCTTTACAAATGGAAAAATTGCTGAATTTTTCGTTTCTGTTCTCTTAACTTTAGTTTGCCTCAACCAAATGTTATGAAACTTATACACAATGCTTATTACCACAAAACACAGATCAAATTTGAATTTGAGTGGTGTCACTTTTACCGTTCTAGAGTTATGCCCCTTTACAAATGGAAAAATTGCTGAATTTTTACATTTCTATTTTCTAACTTAAATTTGCCTCAACCAAATGTTATGAAACTTATACACAATGCTTATTACCACAAAACTCAGATCAAGTTCGAATTTGGTAGACGTCACTGATTGGACACATTCTCAAATTATTGTATGATGAAAATATCGAAAAAATTTCAAAAATAAAGTCATATGAAGAACCATTTTATGAATGAGTTTTGATGGTTATTTGCAATTTTCCTAAAACAATTGTGCTTTAAATGAACAAAGATAAATCTATTTGTATAGCTAATTAAATCTATGATATTGTAAACCTGTTGTTTATATGTATTTTTCATCTTTTGATTGTTCTCTAAAATGTTAAGCATCCAAAAAGGAAAAAAATCAGTGAAGGAAAAAAATAACAGCAGAAATGTTTTATTACAAAGATTAAATTTTCCTATTCTTTCAGACATTTTCCAAGACAAATAAAGGGAAAGTAAAGAAGAGTATATTTGCCACACCAGATCATGTAAATGGTAAAGTTGGTGTTGGTACTTGTGGACAGAGTGGTAAACCCATGACTAAGTATACACACCAGGAGAAATGGAAGAAATGAGCAATCTCAGGATATATACCACTCATTTTTAACCTCACATTGTTCAACTTACAGCTGATAGATACTATTTTGAAATCATGCTAAGTTGTCAGATTAGAATTCTGATTCAGCCTGTTTTTTCATGTCACAGAGAAAGTATTGAATGAATTATCATAACATAAAAACTTCCTCATTTTCATCTGATAACATTTTCATTTTATAAGATATAACAATTTTACAATTGATAATTGAACTGAAGACAGTTAAATTCATTAGTTTAATATTTTCAATTGATTTTTATAAATCGAAAACAAGTATGAACATTTGTTTAGTATGGTTTTATTTGTTGTTTCATACAACACATTTTGTAAATAAAATGTTTAAACATGTAGCATTTTTGTTGATGCAATATATCTTAGAGAGAATACTTTATTTATATAGTGTGTTTGTGCTAAAACTATATTGTTCACTTCCAAAAAAATTATTAAGATATTTTCGTGTGATTGTTTCTTTCTCTGAGAGGACAGCCGCAGTGGTAATGTGCTTGCTACAAATGCAGAACATTGTGGGTTTGAACCCTGGACAAAAATCTGGCTCAGGGTGTCAGTCTAGTATAAAGCAGGGTTCATATTCATATCGCATTACATGTTCTTGTCCTGGTATGCATGAGACATTTGCCACTGATGAGCCCTGTTTCAACCAATGAATAATACATGTTTTTCCATACTTAAATATATCATTCAGTACATCTCCACTAAGCCTATTGGACCAAAGGATAGTCTTTTCCATAGAAAGATTTTGGATCACCAGTACTGTCAATCCAAATTGTTAAAAATCTCTTAATGCTAATCATGCAATCATTTTCAAGAAAAAATCAAAATAAAGACAGGTTAACTTGAAATATGAGTATGTGATGATGAGGTACTGCTACACAGTGAGATAATATAAGACACAAGTTAGTCAGTCACACATATGTACAATCAACAATGAACATGACTGAAAGAAAGGTCTTACAACCGACTATAACATATATACAAAACTTCACAATACAACAACATAAAAATGTCAGCACATATAATTTTAAAATAAGCTAAACACACATAAGAATCAGATTGAATGAAGACAACTATGGGTCAGAAGCACTTTAACATGTTACATAAGCACATAAATATTAATTGAGAACAAAAACTAAACATGTGAGGATAGTACAGAGCAGAATTCATAATTGGTGAGATCATTGTCATTGGACATCTTATATGCTTTCTTTCATGTTCTGTATTCATGAAATATTCTGGCCTGGTCATACCTGTAAAGTCAATAATGATGTATATATGTTAATCTTTAAAGATAAAGGGACATTAGCTACGAATTAGAAAAAAAATATAATTTTTTTTTTCACACGCTAATAAAAGCAGAATATAGACAACACATAGCTATTATCCGTCAGTTTGGTTCAATTTCGTCAAAATAAGCTAAAAAAGTTGCTGTTAACTTGCTAGTCAATATTTCAACCTCATTTGGATCTGTATTCATTTAGTTGAGATGGGCACATATGCGATTAAGATGTGGTTCATTAATAAAAAAGAAAAGATCAACATTGAAAAGTGAAACAATTGAGACAACAGGAATAACCATTTCTTTGCCTGAACAAGACCACAAAAAATTATTCTTATACAGATAAAACGATGATCAACATAGTTTTAATCTTTAACATGAAATCAAACAGGCCTACAGGATGTTTAATTCTTAGCCATGTCCGGTCAGAATGGAAAAATCAGCTCTGTACTATCCTCGCATGTTTAGTTTTTGTTCTCAATTAATATTTATGTGCTTATGTGACATGTTAAAGTGCTTCTGACCCATAGTTGTCTTCATCAATCTGATTCTTATGTGTGTTAAGCTTATGTGGTCATGAATAAAATTGAAACAAAATAAACTTGATGTATTCAAATAGGATATCCGTCATTCATGATGCTCTGAGTTAAACTTAAACATATGCAGAATTATATAAGGAAGTTAGTTGTCACATTCATGTTTGATACGACAATCAAACTTTTTATTGAAGGATTTCGGATCTAAAGGAACTGGAATCAATAAATCGCAGTTTTATAGATTTAGAACTGTTACATTCGAAAGTGTTTTACAACCACTTCCACCAGCAGCAACAGCACCACCACCACCACACCATCAACAACCCACTTCCCCCCAAAAACATAACAATAAAAAATCGTATGATGTAATTTCCATTCGCATAAAACGAATCACTGGAATTACCTTTATCAGGTACGCTCGAAACCAAATGTTTGGAAACCCAAAAAATAGAAAACGTTCGTGAGCCTGAAAAACAAAACAACCAATACCGTGTTCTGTGTTATTTCAAACCATGGGTCCTTAATCTTGAAAAAAGTATTAAAAAAATACAGAACTCCAAGGTAAATTCAAAAAGGGGGAACTCCATAAAATCTATCAAAATCAAACGTTGGACCATATTAACCAACGAAACGAATGGAATTGTGGGATATAGTCATGATAGTCGAGCGTTTGATTTTGTCAGGTTATCTGGACATCCCCCTTTTTCAAATTTACCTTCGAGGTTGGTATTTTTGTGAATACTTTTTTATTCATAAAAACTGAAACCAGTCTGGAATTTGTATCAATAACGCGAGTATTTTTGGCCTTTTGAAATGATAAATTGAGATCAGTCATTGGTATGGAAACAATTTGAAACCCAAATTGCGAATTTCCAAATGTTTTTTAACAGGAGGATACCAGACCACACAAAGACACAGTATGATCCACAAAAGGTGAATATGTCCGAAGGCCGTGTCTATTTTTGAAAGGTACAGAAGTACTAAATGATTATATTTTTGTTGACATTACTACACCTGAGACTTGACAAAAAAATCACCTTTGCATTTGTATGAAAATGCTGTTCCTACTCGAATCCAGAAACCTTCTATTTAAGCAGTATATTGAATTGAGATATTGGGTCACTAGCTGAATGATATTTCTCTATAATCACGATTTTTCATAGATAAAATAGAATGGTCAGGCCTGGATAGAGTGTTTATATAGAAATCAATCATGGATCATTATTATTAAACCTTTCATCATTCATTCTTTCGATTAACTCTCGCGTTTGTACCGACACAGATCAGTTCACAATGAGTACATTCAATACCCCACTGTTCAGATGCGACTGTATAAACTCATCAAAGATACCAGGTGTATACTTTTGTATTTTAGTTGTTGTTTCGACCAATAATAAATTTGATTCTTTAAAATCTCTTTACATTCAGTTTAGTTAAATTGGTATATGTATATGTTATGTACTTGTAATGAAGCTACATAGAACGTATTTAGATATAGGAAGATGTGGTATGAGTGCCAATGAGAAAACTCTCCATCCAAGTTACAATTTATAAAAGTAAACCATTATAGGTCAAGGTACGGCCTTCAACACGGAGCATTGGCTCACACCGAACAGCAAGCTATAAAGGGCCCCAAAAAATTACTAGTGTAAAACCATTCAAACGAAAAAACCAACGGTCTAATCTATATAAAAACGAGAAACACGTATGAACTATATACACAAACAGACGACAACTACTGTAATCAGATTCCTGACTTAGGATAGGTGCAAACATTTGCAGCGGGATTAAACGTTTTAATGGTACCAAATCTTCCCCCTTTTCTGAAACAATAGTATAACATCACAACATAGAAAACACACTATAAAATATCAATTGGAAGGCTTAACTCAATCAAAAAACGTAAATTAACACACAATGAACGAATAAATTTGACCTGTGACACCTGAATGCAAATACACAGTTAATAAAAAATTACAAGGGATAAATAATTAAAGTCAAAAGTAAATAAACAGGTTTAAACAAAGCTAAAGTATGATTACATGTTACATATTTGCCTACTTGTCTCAAAGATTGACAGATACCACATTGTATCTTTAATTAAAGTTACGTTAAACACAACATACATTACTAAATCAGACTAAAATTCCACATTTCCCGAGGGGTTTTCAACGGGGGTCTAATTGGGGGGTTCTGATCCCGGATCCCGCTTACTGTTTTGTCAGATTCCCGTATCCCGCTTACACTATGTACGTAAGCAATTCTCATTTTTTTGTAATTTCCCGTGTCCCGCTAGACTTCATTTCCCGTTTTCACGGCACAATAATTTGACTTTCACGTGTCACGCTTACAAAAGATCGGCAATCCCGCGTCACGCTTAGCCCCAATGAGACCCACTTCAACCTTATTTTACAAATTTATCAACTGAAATTTTATTAATGTTCGTCAATTCTCATTGCTTATAACGGAACACTCCATGATTATAAACGAAGTTGATACCATTACGGACTTACAGTCCAATAGCAGTAGTAATCAAAAGTTAAAGGTACATTTCGCTACTTTTAATGCGTTATACTAACCTTTCGCACGGAATGAATGAATAAATGAAAGAATGAATTTTTATTTTGTCCATGTATACGAAGATTTTTCATAAAAAGAACATTTAGAAAAAAGTCGTTATTTGCACAAACACAACATCTCATGCATTTTACGATATATACTCAATAAACAATAACTAGAGATAACATCAAACCAAATACAGATGAAAAGAACAAAAAATTAGCAATAAATGGATATTCAAAACTCAAAATTAACCCTATTTTTATATAATAAATACTGTCTGAATTTTGGCCATGTTGGACGAAGTCCTACCAGTTTCTGATATGATGATGTCGGGCATTTGTGTAATCAGCTCCTATCCAACAGTTTTCAACCCAGATACCTGAAATTTTACTGAAATAATGCACAGATGTAGCGATTGTGCACCAGCTATTATATAGTTGTTAGAGGAATTTCCCCCATGTTTCTTAACTTGAAAAAGGCGTTTTTCAGGAAGGTTGCAAAAGACCAATTTTGTGAAATCAACGCCTACTACCGTTATTACTACTGAGTGTGGATTCCCGCGCATGGTAGGTGATGCAAGAATAGCAGGAGACACTTACCTTGTCACCGCATGTGATCATGCTTTTTTTGGAGTTCATGCAATTACCTTAGTTTTTTTTTTAACTCGATTTGTCATCTTCTTAATGGATTAATTTATGATATTTGATCATCGGTAAATCTCCACCTCTTTTTTAAACTACTGTTGCATTTTATAAATGATCTCTGAATAATGATATATATATATTGAGGTTGTGCACCTGCTATAATGATTATGGAATCGTTTGAAGATTTTCTTCCCATTTTCCAAACGTCAGAACCAAGTCATTTCTTCAGCAAAAAGAAGGTTATAAATCTTGTTTTTATGTAAGGAACTTCAAGAAAGCTGTTAATTATAAGGCTGTGCACCTTCTATTTTTCT